AGCAAAGGGTCTGAATACTTATGACCATGTGATATTTCAGTTTTTCTTTTTTTAATAAATCTGCAAAAATGTCATTCTGTGTTTTTCTGTCAATATGGGGTGCTGTGTGTACATTGAGGAAAAAAAATGAACTTAAATGATTTTAGCATATGGCTGCAATATAACAAAGAGTGAAAAATTTAAGGGGGTCTGAATACTTTCCGTAGCCACTGTAAATGAGGGAATATATAAAGAAAGAAGAGGAAGTCCAGAAACCAAGAACTGAAAATGTAGTAGCTTGTAGTAGATGGACACATGATGGTTTCTCCTTTGTCAGGCATCTGTAGTTTCTTCAGAAGCAACACTCCTTGTGAAAACTGAACTCAAAAATATAAAATGAGTCAGATCACATGAAATAACCGCCAAATGAAGGAGCCTGATAAAACATAAATAAAGCTGCATGTGTGGTCAGAAGGGTTTTGTCTGAGGGAGCTTTGTGTCATACTGTGAGAAGAAAAATGGCACCAAGTGTAACTCTGCTGACTATGAGCAGACTCCAACTAAAAAAATACAGAAAGGCCATCTGGACAACTGGCACAAACTTTAAAGCACAACAGCATTAAATTTATATTTACACTTTTCTACCATAGTGGCCACCATGCTAGCAAACAATCTCACATTGGTCTTTACCCGAGTTGTTTATTCCATTGTTCTCCATGCCTCACAGGCGTCCTTCAGTTTGCTCATTAATGCAGTCGGTGTTTGCTTTGAATTAAGCCATCCCATCTTCTCCCTCTCCGCCAGCTCTTTTGTCCTATTAGCTCATCAAGCCTGATGGGAAAATAATCCAGAACCTGAAAACAATGTTGTGCTGAACCACAGCAGGGCTGAGACAAGCTGTTGCCAAATGACTCAATTGAAACACAGCACTTTAAATTGGGTCATTATGTGAATCTGTCAAAAGCCAGAATCCAGTGAGAGAAACGAGAATCACGACAGGGCCAGAATTTATTTTAGTATTTATTTCAACACCTTAGTTGTACCTCTATCATATTGTTGAACAGTGTATAATGTATTTTATTTAAAACCAAAATGTATATACATTTATATATATTTATATTTATATATATACCTTTAATCTCTGCATACTTAGGCTCATATTGTATGTAATATTCATTATGCATCTCACTAGACCTAAAATACTCTTTTAAATCATGTAATGCTTTCTACACTACTGCTCAGTCCTTTCACTTCTCAGATTAGCATCCATCATGATATAGCTTTGAGGTAACTCAGCAAAGGAATACAGAGTCATAATTGTATACTCACATAGAGAGAATATGTATTAACTAATGGGTGTCAGCTTCACGGGGGTCACCACAGGGAGAGCAGTATAGAAAGCATTTACAAAAGACATAACCAAAACAAAGCTTCAAAGAAATTGTCCACACTATTTGGAAGACAGAGATTCTTAAAAAAACATTTACATAACTATTATTATCTTTATTGTACTATACTTTGTTATCATTGTGATCATCCTTGTTATATATGGATCTATAAATGATGTGGTTTTGCCTAACAGCTGAATTCACTGCTTGGAATGGCTAATCTGGCATGTTAAAAACATTCAGGTTCACCTCTATGTGACATATTTACTTTATCACACTGAAAAACCTTTTTGAAAAGTGGGAAAAGTTCCTTTTGGAGGGTTTATGTGTGGAATAGCATGGGAGCCGTCCCTGGTAGGCTAGTGGTTGAGAGGCACGGCTCTCGCCGCTGCGGCCCGGGTTCGAATCAGGGTTGTGTCAGGAAGGGCATCCGGCGTAAAACACGTGCCAAATGTCAACATTTGAGATGTCAGTGTGACGATTCACTGTGGCGACCCCTAAACGGGAAAAGCCAAAAGTGACTTTACTTTATGTGCGGAATAGCATAACACTGGGATTGTCAAGTGGTGAGAAAGAAAGGTTTTCTGACCTTTATAAATATGTTTTTTGAAAACACATTAGAAAGAGAAAGGTGTAGGTCAAGGAAAGCTTGTGGCCACCAACGCAGCTGACAAACACACACACAAAAATCAGACACACAGAGGCTGAAGGCTGAGGAAGTCTGGCAGACAGGGAAGCAGAAAAAAGCCCTTTTCGATCACTGCACCTGCTGTGCGAGAGCGCGGTTAACATTATGGCATCAGAGAGGATGGATCCATCCTTTGACCTGTGCTATGGCCATAAAACACCGATACCGTCTGAGGAAAAAGATGGTTTGCAGTTTGAAATGATATGCAAACACTTTTCAGTTCCTCGCTATTATTTCCTCTCCTTTCTCTAGAATAACCAGGAAAATAATAAAAGGTTATTTCACAACAATAGTTTCTCAGTATTTGTACATCCTCATTATTCACAACTTGAATTCAACAGTTATAAAGACCCTGACCAGTTGGAAATGAATGATTGCGATCAGCACTTAGTACAAAACAAATGGTTCCGCTAATAGAGAATCCCATTTAACATGTAAGATATATTTAGTGCTCGCAAAATACATACATACACAGCTTACTGGGGCATCCCTTGGGGGAATATGGCAAATATATAAAAAGAATACTATTGTTTCCCTCTATTTTCATCTACAAACAAAACCTTTTCCCTCATATTCCAACTTCAGCTCCAGTACATGTAACCATTTGATACTCTGATCTGCTTAAAACAACAAAATTGATGTTAGGATGTGGTCCTTATCTTTCTGTTTTCACCAGAGTTTCTGGCTCTGTCCCAGTCAGAAACATTTTATTGGGGTTTACCATTTAAGCAGCAACTTTGCAACTTTTATTTGAGTTCAGACTGAGGTTTTCTCAGTGCTGTTAAGCAGCAGATGGTGTGAGAATCCATCTGTCAGAGTGTGTGAGAATATGCATGTGTATGTTTGTTTTTAACAGCACAAAACAGTGTTAATTAAATGCCTGTCCATCAAAAGTTTTAATGTGTATTTTCAGTAGAAGATAGTCATTTTAATAGTTTTCTTAATTTCTTTATACCCTTTCTTGACCAGTAGTCATTCCACAAATTTCATGACAGTGTCCTCAAATTTGAAAGACATTTTTCTCCATATTTCCAGCCCTTAGTCTTAGTTCAACACAATCTGCTGATGTTCTTCTCTTGCACATCTTCTGTTACTGTTCATCTTTGTTAATTTGTTTCTCTCCCTTTCTCTCACATCTTTGAATCACCCCATCACCCTCTCAGTCTGTGTCTTGGGGAGATGTAGTGACATGCAAAGGAGAGAGCTGCCTGGGGAGAGAAGGAGGGCAAATCAAAGAATGAGAATGAACAGAACTGAAATAAAGGTGGAGCAAACTAAAGAGAACATGTTAATAAAGAGAAAGCGAAAGGAATGGAAGGAAGATGTGATAACTTATCAAATTAAATGCATCTAATGAAGAAAGGGGTTGATCCAGCTAATGTGTATGGAAGGAGTCAGAGACTGACTTTCCTTCATCATCCTGTGCTTCCATTTTGACCTTTTGACCCCACTGCCTCTATGTGTTCCAGAGTCTGTTAGTCCTCCCTCACCTGTCAGTGAGTTTCTTCAGTGCCCTCTCGATGTTCATTCGGTGTCCCACACGTGTCACTCCCAGGTCCAAGAAGTCGTCCTTGGTGAGTGAAGGCAGATGCGATCCATCTATCTCATTGTCTATAAAACGCTCTCTGTGTTCACCCAGGTTTAGGTAAGTCAGCCAGTCTGCCACGTCGTACTTGGTCCAGTATTGCAGGGGCTTGACAGCGAAGGGCTTGGCTGGTGGAGGAGGGGTGAGATGGGGATAGTTGAGACAAGAAGGGCTTGGGGGTAAGTGCATGGGGGAGGAGGCTCCAGAGAGAAAATGGGTGGGAGAATGAGAGTGTGACACAAGTAACGGGTTTGGACTTGGTACACCAGAAGGAGAAAACAGCGGGGGTGTTGAAGCCTTGAAGGCGTCTCCTAGAGGGAGGCCTGGAGAGGGAGGAGTGAGGGGCCCGGGGAAGTCGAAGGGGTTGTTGTAGATAGGTGTGCTGGGAAGGATGGGGAGGGAGGAGGGTCTGGGAGGGGTGGGATTCGGTTGTTCTGCATTATACATAAGAGGGCTTGGAGCCCGACGCCGGGACACTGAAGACCGCATCTCCTTAGTGGGACTGCATGGGAAATCAAAAGTCTGCCTACGGAACTTAGGCCGATGCTTCGGAGATGTTGGGTATGGGCAGTAGGTTGGGGAATGGGGAGGGTGTGAATGAACAGGGGAGGAAGGCATCTGTGGAGAAGGGGAGCGGGTCCAGTTACGCTGAACTGGTACTTGAGGGGAAGGAGAGACAGAAGGGGTGGCCGACAAGTTGGGTGTTAGGATCTGACGGTGCTGTGGGGAGGAGGTGGGTAATGGTGAGGTGGAGCGGCCGGTAGGGGGGCTGTGAAACACATCACTGAAATCTGCTGAATACCTGAAAGACATAGAAAATTAACCTGTGAACTTTAAATTCTAACAATAAACTTTAAATAAGTAGATATGCACACTTTCATTTTAATATCGAGAACAACAAAGACACCTGTGCATGGTGGGGGACTTGGGAGTGTGGCTCCAGTCATCCATGCTCTTCATGCTACTCATCTGTTGCAGCTTGGAGCTTAGCTCATTGATTATGCTTGCCTTCATGCCTGAAAGAGGTGAGTGCAGCCTGCGGCCATCCAACAAAATCCCACCTCTTTGGACTCCTCCTCCTTGCTCATGCTCCTCAGCCTCACCCCAGCCCCCTGACCGAGTGTCCATAGGCCTCTCTAAGCAGCTAGCCAGAGCGGAGCTGAAGCCATCCTCCATTTTAGATCGACTTCGCCTTCCTTCATCTGCAAGAGCTTCATCTAATCTGGCATCTTCTGGGTTGGTTTGTCTCTGCAGCTGCAAGGGAGCAGGGTTGGTGCTGTTCTGCCTACGTAGTGCTACAGGCAGGCATCTCCCTCCCCCTTCTTTGTAATGAGTCATCTTTGGAAACACAGGGTTTGCCAGCTTGGTGCTATGCACCTCAAATGTTTGCCCACCTGAGTAGGTTGTGCAAGTATCATGATGTTCACCACTTTTCTCTCCCTCTCCTCCTTGTCCGTCTCCTCCGACCCCTCCCCTCTCTCCTCTCAGCCCACTCAGTCCCAGTATTTCTAAATGGTGGTCGCTACTGCTGTGACTGTCCAGCTCCTCAATCCCAGAGTCCACCACAGCATCTTGCCAGTCTCCACTCTTGGGTATAATAGTGGTTTGATACGTGTGGTCAGCAGCCTTGCCCCCTGTACTGAGACCGGACTTGGGCCCAGCCATGGTAATGTTGTAGTCAGAGGATGCCAGTGAGGTTGTGGTGGTGGTGGCAGCAGCAGTGGCTGTCATGGTAGTGGTAGCATAGGTCATGGTGGTGGTGAGGGTGGCCGTGCCTCTGTCCTGGGCTGGGCTCTGACCACCTACTGAAGGGTCGTTAGAGCTGCTGTAATAGGCCTGAGAATGGGACACAGGCTGTGGTTTGTGTAGTGGCACGGGAGGTGGAGCAGCAGCAGAGGTGGTGGCAGCAGAGGAAGAGGGGAATATCTGTGGGGACGGATAAGATGGAGAGAGAGCTGACTGTGTGAGGTTGGCCACCTCGCTGTCGTAGGAGGTAAGACTGGAGGCAGCAGAGTCGCCACCCTGTGAAGAGGGTTGGTGGGCATTTGAGGTCTTGGGAGATGGAAGAGGAGGTGGAGGAGGTGAAGCAACAGCAGCAGAACGTTGACTCGGGTGTTGATGGTGCTGCACTCTTTCATTCTTACCATTAGCAAACTGTAAAGGAGGGGGCAAGGGATCTGCAAAGACAAACTCATCATCTGCATCTATTGAGGGAGCAGGTGGAGGAAGAACCATCAGTCCTAGACTTCCACCCTCCCCTGCTCTTCCTTCACCCATAGCTTCATGCCTCTCTGCTGGGGCTGTGGGGACAGTGTACTGAGGGATATAGCTGGTGTTGGTAACACTTTCCATGTACGAAAAGGAGGGTCTGCGGGGGGCAGGTTGAGCTGGAGGTGGAGGAGGCTGTATGGGTGGAGCAGGTCTGCTGTCGTACACCTCCTTTTCTCTTTCTCTCTCTCTGGGGCTTGGTGGATAATACTGGGTTGAATATTGACTGGTTCTGTCCTCTGAGAAGCGAACTCTAAGACCCTCCCTGGGTCCTCCCTCCTTTTCCCTCTCCATCCTCTCCCCACCTCCTCCCAAGCGTAATATCCTTGGTGACTGTGGCCGGCTCAGAGATGCAGGGGAGGCGATGGTGGTGGGAGAGCTTAAGTGGACAGACACTGGGGAATTGTATGCTGACTGTGTGGGGGTTGCAAAAAGGGAAGAAGTTGGGGTCTGAACAGGAGTAGGGAACGCTCCTACTGTGGACAACTGGCGGCCAAAGTGTCTCTCCTCTCGGCGTGTTCTGCGGTCATCTTTTAGGGCCCTTTCTCTGGCAGCCAGGGCCAGGCCAAGTGGGGATGAGGGGTCCAAGACTTTTCCTGTAAGTGGATGGATGAAGGTAGTAGCTGGCTGGGTGCCATACACTGAGGGAGCTGACTTAGGCTGTCCATCCTGACCAAGGACAGGCGAAGAATACTCAGGCAGGCCAAAGGCTGGGGGCATGCTGCTGGAATAGTTGATGTAGCTGTCTCCAGAAAACATGCCCTCATCTATAGACTTGGAGGGCCGGAGTCGAGGGGTGGGTACTTCCATGTGTGAGGCCTGTAAAGGCTGAATTCTTGCCCTCAATGTGCCTCCTCCCTCTCCTGCTCCTCCACCTGCCTCTCCTTGGATGTCCTCCTCAGATGAGAGGAAGAAAGAAGTGCTCCTTCTTCTCATCTCTCGGAAACGCTC